CAATAAGAAATGTAGAATGTGAAATAAAGATGAAGCCATTCTGAGTCGTATGCAGATCCTAGGAAATATCTCCTTATATTTGACACAAGGGGAAATGGCAGCCATAGCTAATTCTGAAAACGAGAAGTGTTCCTGCCTGGGTTACTTGATGAAGGATATTATTAGCAATTAGCAAGTCAAGTAGAAATAATTTGTTTTGTTTTGTTTTCTCCCCTTCTAACTATTGGCGTGTTGGTGGAATTAACTTGCCTGGCAGGAGAATGAACTGCCCGTGCCGTTGGGACCCAGGAGCTTTCTGAGCTGGCAGACCGCACACTCCATGTGAAACCATGACTCTTTCCACCGTTCTTGTGTACACATGTGTGTGAACATTGGTGTCTGCAAAATCTGAGACTTTTGTTTCAGAGAAAATTTGCTGGAAGCCACTGATTTAGAATTTTGTTGACAGGATTTTTAAAAAATCCGTGCTCAAAAAAGATGTAATTTAATCAGTTTTGTAGCCCCCCCCCCCCAAAAAAAAACAGCCTTTCTTAGGTTTTTTAGGTTGTCTTATGAGCACTGACAGAAATGTGTAGGTTCAGGGCACCCAGAGCAGATGTGGAAGTTCTTTCATTAAGGTAGCCTGCGTGAATCATCGCTGTGACTCAAAGCCTGAAGCAGTTTTAGCCTGATCTCCTTGGCTGCATTTTTAGAATCTTAGACATTCCAAGCTGAGAGGGATTTGGGGAATTATATAGTCCATCTAATCCCCAGAATTTACAAATGAAGGAACTGAAGTCCAAGGGGAGAAGTGAATTGGCTTACCCAAGGACATACCTGTCGGCGAAGTGAAGGCTGCAACTTTTGACCTTGTTCATTCAGGAATTGTGGCAGAGCCTTTCCTGCTCGTCTTAGAATGAAATGTACTATAGGGACCCGCAGCCATCCTCCGTGGTCTGGCTTTATTGTCTCTTTTCTCTCTGTTTTTTAGTTTCCTTCTCCCTTTTCTCAGTATACCTTTCAAGTGGGATGGAAGTTGAAACCCACAAAGCAGAGAATATGAGAAATACCTGTATAATGACACAAAGTTAGGTTTGTTAGCATTATGTGCAGCAAAGGAGGACACATACCCTAGGGATGGGAGAAGTGGGAAGAGGCCTCTGAAAGGTTTGGCCTTGTGCTGAATGAGTGAAAGGAGGGATCAGGGAAGAGGTACCCACTGGATTAGCTGCTGCCAAGTGCCCATGGCAGCTTAGGAACTTAGACTCTCAGCAGTCGCTGTTCAGGAGATGGGTGAGACAAAGCGCTATCATTGGTAAGAATACAGCAGTTGCTCAGAAAAAAGGACTGTCTATCATATTGCAGCTGCAGAGTGGCCTTGGGTATATAGAAATATTGTTAATGTTCTGTTGGGAGCATCTTAGACTGATTAGCAGCAGAGCTGATTTTCACTCTTAGGGATTTGGGTCTCTCTCTTTCTCGGTTAATGGCACCATCATCCACCCACCCAGCCATCTAAGTCACATCTGGGATCATCCTAGATTCTTTGTTCTATTTCAACTCTAATGTATAATCATAAGTTTCTTCCAATTTTACTTTCTTCTTCTTCTTCTTCTTCTTCTTCTTCTTCTTATTATTATTATTATTATTATTTGGAGACGGAGTCTTGCTCTGTTGTCCAGGCTGGAGTGCAGCAGTATGGTCTTGGCTCACTGCACCTCAGCCTCTAGGGTTAGAGTGATCCTTCTGCCTCAGCCTCCTGAGTAGCTAGGATTACGGGCACATACCACCAAGCCTGGCTAATTTTTGTATTTTTAGTAGAGACAGGGTTTTGTCATGTTGGCCAGGCTGGTCTGGAATTCCTGACCTCAGGTGATCTACCCACCTTGGCCTCCCAAAGTGCTGGGATTACAGGCATGAGCCACTGCTCCCAGTCAACCTTCTAATTATTTTTAAGTCTGCCCTCACCACACTGTTATTACTAGTTTCCTGCCCTAGTTCAAACTCCCATCATCTTTATTCTAGATTATTGTGAAATATATTAACTGGCCTTCCTGCCTTCTGTCTTTCTGGGTTAAGTCCATCCTTACATTGATGTCTGTAGTACTCTTTTCAAATTGTCAAGCCCTTCAGTAGTTCCTAGTCACTAGAGGATAAAGATTCTTAACCTATCTAGAAAACTCTCTCTGATCGGCTCTCTACTGACTTCTCTAGATTCCATCCTATTTCTCCTCTTCCTGCTTATGCTTTTCTCCTGCCTCTGTATTGGTTATCTATTGCTGCATAACAAATTTTTAAACGCTATAAATTCCATGACCTGCCAAAATAGTGATATAGGCGTTAAGAAGAAATTATTTAGGCAGATAGTGAGGGTACAGGAGTCCTCGGTAAGGTTTTCCTTTTAATGAAAAGCAGACCTCAAATCGTTTTCTTTTCTAACAAAAAGCAGCCTGCCTATAAAATTGAGCTACACACATAGACAAGTAAGCTGGAAGCTTGCACGAGTGAATGTCGGCAGTTGTGCCAATAGGAAAAGGCTACCTGGACTAGGCATGTTCAAAATGGCAGCTCCATCTTCCCTTTTCCTTTCCAACCACGTGTGCAGTAGGGAGCAGACAGTAGTGCTTTCTAAGTGGAAAGCCCATTTGCACAATAAGGTTAGGGTGAGGTGGCCAGCTTCCCTGCATGCTATGTAAATGTTATACCTGGTCCAGCCAATCTGTGGGCCAATCTATGTCTATATAAATCAGATACCACCTCCTCAAGCCTGTCTATAAAATTCAGTGCACTTCACAGAGGGCCTGATTTCCCATTCAGATGCCCCTCTCTCTTGCAAGAGAGAGAGCTGTTCTCCTTTTTCTTTTGCCTATTAAACCTCCGCTCCTAAACTCACTCCTTGTGCGTGTCCATGTCCTTAATCTTGGTGTGAGATGGCAAACCCCAGGTATTTACCCCAGACAGTGATGCCACCTCAATAGGAGAGACAGCAGCTCATGAAGGAAGTATAGCGGGATTCATTTAATTAGGAGTTAAAGTCAAAGTTGGAAACTAGTTTGGAGGTTTGCAGTAGTCCAGACAAGTGACAGTAAAGAACTGGATTAGGCCATGAGAGTAGATTTAGAGAGGTGAAGGTGAATTTGAAAAACATCTGGAAGATTCAGTTGGTGATTGATTGGCTGTGGGAATGCAGGGCCAGAGAAAAATGGATAGATCAAGAATACATCCTGGATTTCTGGCTTTAGTACTTGAGTTTTATACTTGATGGGAGTATTTCTAACCAAGATGAAAAATAGGGAAGTAAGGACAAGTTTAGGGAAGGAGATAATAAGTTTAGTTTTTGAGTTCTTCTTAACTACTTTTGATTTTTGTCAATATAATAAAAGTAATGTTATAATTCTCATGATAAAAAATTTTAGTCGTCTTCTCCACCCCTCCCCATCCTTCTCTTACCTCTGAGACCTTCTCTCATACTTCTACCTATTTGTTCTAGCCTTTAATTCCAAATTTCCAAGTAATCTGCCTAATCTGTTTCTTGATTTATTGGTTTTAGAGTTACACTTTTTATTTGAGGTATTTTCTATTGACTTATTCAACAAGGTGAGAATTTACCACTTTTATATACCTTACCTCCTGACTTTCCTACCCTCCAACCTGTCCAAATGGTGATGTAATTTTTCTCTTTTGCTAAATCAATATCTAATGTTTACCTTATTATGTAAATATTGCTCACTGCTGAGCCAAGTAGTATACTATAATTGCAATCCCTGTCTTGTACAGTTTTATTTTCATCAACTTAAAAATTGCCTCTTTGCATTGTTCTGTTTTCTCTATCACTCTTATAACTTCTGTCCAAACTTGCTGACAGAACTGTAATATCCTTATTGATATGATTTTTTACAAAAGCTCATGTAGTAGTCAGTTATAGATACATTTCTTCCTTGAGGACATCTCATGTGGACCCCCCCTCTGTCTTACTGCTCCATTATGCACTGGTGGCTCTTTAGATATAATTGTTATTCTGTGATTTCACTTCCCCTCTTCAGTCCTAGTTCCCCTGTTACTGGGCTTCCATGTCTTCCTCTTTCTTGGTTTACATCCTTGCTTTGGTGGACCACATTTGCCAGTAGCTTTCTGAGAAGTGGTATATGAGAAACATTAAAAAAAAAACAAAAAACAAAAAAAAACAAAAAAAAAACAACTGACTGGTTCCCAAGCTGTATATGAGGTGAAAAAAATTAAATTAAAAATCAAAATCAAAATCTAGCTGGATGTGGTAGCTCACACCTGTAATAGCAGCACTCTGGGAAGCTAAGGCGGGAGGATCGCTTGAGCCCACAAGCTAGAAGCTGAAGTGAGCTGTGATTGCAGCATTGTACTGCCACTGCAGCCTGGGTGACAAAGTGAGACCCTATCTCTAAAATAAATAAAAATAAACAAATACATAAATAAATCTGATATATTTCTGAATATTTATTTAATTTATTCTCATGATTGATAGAGGCTGGGCGTGGTGGCTCATGCCTATAATCCCAGCACTTTGGGAGGCTGAGAGACCAGCCTGACCAACATGGTGAAACCCTGTCTCTACTAAAAATACAAAAAAATTAGTTGGGCGTGGTGGCATGCACCTGTAATCCCAGCTACTCAGGAGGCTGAGGCAGGAGAATAGCTTGAACATGGGAGGTAGAGGTTGTGGTGAGCCGAGATCGCGCCATTGCACTCTAGCCTGGGTGACAGAGCAAGACTCCGTCTCATAAAAAAACACAATAAACAAAAAACTAATGCAATTTTGGCTCTTGATTCTTTTTATGTGATACCATTCTCTTTCTCTCTTCTTCTCTGAAAAGTTTCTAATAGTCACTTTATTTCTGAAATGTGTTCTTCATCTTTTCATTTCTTGATCCGGGAACTTGATGGTTCCTTTAAATCTGAAAAATCATATCTATACCTCTGCAGATATTTTCGCGCTATTTCTTTGATAATTTCTTACCCTGATTTTTTTTTTTTTTTTTTGAGACAAGGTCTCTCTGTGTCATCTAGGCTGGAGTGCAGTGGTGCGATCGTGGCTCACTGGAGCCTTGACCTCCTGGGGCCCAAGTGACCCTCCCAGTTCAGCTCCCCAAATAACTGGGATCACAGGTATGTGCCACCATGTCTGGCTAATTTTGTAAACTTTTTTTGTAGTAATGAAATTTCATTATGTTGCCCAAGCTGGTCTCGAACTCCTGGGCTCAAACTATCTTTCTGCCTTGGTCTCCCAAAGTTCTGGGTTTACAGGCATGAGCCACCTGATCTCCCCTGAATTTTATCTGCCATCTTTTTCTGGAACTCCCATTAGTCAGATATTGATCTTCTGGAACCAATCTTCTAATTTCCTTATCTTTTTTCTCCCTATTTGTAAAGGTTCTATTATCTTTCAATTATATTTTCTGTGAGATTTCTATAACTTAATTGCACTGTCCTTTTATCAAATTCTTAAGATTTCTACTATTGTATTTTTAATTTTCAGAAGCATGTTCTTATTTTTTATTCTGTTGTTTAATGAATGCCATATCTTCTCTTATCTCCTTAAAGACATTTTGGTTTTTGGAGAGTTATTCTGCTTCGTACATTGCTATTTCTTGTGAGTTTTTGTTTTTGTGCTGTTTCTTTTGGACTTTCTACCAAGCTGGAGGCTTTCCTCAAATACCCAATGGTTCCTTGAAGTCTATTTACGTATTGAGTGTGAGAAACTAAATTGCTGTGTTGAAGGGATTTGTCAGCAGTTCACTGGCTCCCTGCAGTTGATTGGTGGATTCAACAGGCTTCGTTAGGGGATCCTACGTGTCATTATGTGTATATTCTTTCTCTAAGGGAATGCAGTTGTTGCAAAAAAGAATCCTTCAGTCTCCTGCAGAAGCTGAAGAATGAAGGTATAGAGTCCTTACTGCCAACATTCTTACTGCTGAGTGTTCAAGGGGCTGGGGTCTGTCAGTGTGTAGACTTTCTGCGTTTTCAGTAGGGTATCTCTTCCCCAACTTTCACTGTTTCTTATATTCCCAAGTCTAGAGTGTCTCTACTGAAAATGTCCAAATAATGAATTTTCTACAGAATAAGGCTCTCACCTCCTCTTTTAGATTGGGAAGGGACTTGAGGATCTAAATGCTGTTATAGACTCATACCAATTCCTCCATTTTCAGCCCCATACTTCGCTTTTGCCTTCTGTAGTACTTACCAGTTTTGACCCTTTCTGTAGTTGTATGGGTTGAATTAGCTTGTTTCTCGTTTTATTCTGCGTTCATTCTCTGCAAACTATCTGTTCACTTTCCATCTAACAACAAAAATTTGATCTGCCCCATTTACTATTGTCTCTCCTATTTTCTTGGGTATTGGGATTTATAACTTTAAAAAATGTCTTCACTCTCATTTTAGAGAGGTTTCATGAGGGGACAGAAATAAATGTTTCTGACTCACCACGTTTCAGCAGGATTAAATGCCATTTTGACATGTTGAGTTTCATATACCCATGGGGCATCAGGTAAAAATGTTAGGCAGACGGTTGGATAGATGAGGCAGCAGCTTTTGAGAGGCACTCTCATTTTGAGTGGTGTCCACAGAAAGTGCTGGTTAAAGTGATGAGACCACTCTTTAGTGTGTGGAAGCGTAATAAACTGTGGACCAAGGATAGAATCCTAGAAAAATTTTAGAACCATGAAAACACAAATTACAGAAGGCAAGGCATCGATAAATTTACCAAAGGGGCAGTAGCAGCATGTCAGAAAAGTCAATAAAGATAAAGACAGGTTTTTCTTTTGAATTTAGAAATATGGAGATTATTAATGATTTTAGCAAGATGATATGCACAGAAGTCAGAATACATTAAGTAAGAATGAAACAGGGTTTTTTTTGTTTTTTTTTTTTTGCTTTCAGAAACTGCTGACAGAAGCAATAATAGAGGGTGTTCAGTGGCTTATGAAGCAGATGAACCAGTCTGTGGGCTTTTTGTGTTGTCTCCACCTTAGATACTATACGCAGTGGATTTTCAAATACCTAATGAGGGAATGCAGTGACTTTGTTGCCCTTGGATTAGCTGTGTGAAGACATTCTGGCTGGTTTGATCTGAGAGGTCATTTCTCATGCTCCCCTTGCTCTTTTTCAGGGTTGGTGTGAGCAAGCCAGACTGTATGGGGCTTTAAATTCTGGGTGTGCTGATGAAGCTGATACTGTTAACCACGCCTTTCTTCAATTGTATGTATGATGAAATGTTTGCAGGAAAATAAAGACAGTGGAGTGTAGGTGTTAACACTAGAATAAAACCTAAATTCCATTTTTGAGGTCTCTGAGAGAGCCCAAAACACAGCACTTTGTCTTTCTCTCCTGAGTTCTGAAGAAATTGAGAAATAAGACAGAAGAGCAAGGCGGCAGGACAGCGAAACATCAGCTTGATTAACGAAGGAGGCTGGGCTGGAATGGCACTTTTCCTTTTGGGCAAATGGGTTTCCTATAACTGATGCCTGAGTTGAGCAGACTTGCCCAGCAATCCTCAGGTTCACACAGGGTGGAGAGGGAAAAGCACTGCTCCGTGTGGGGATGGGGAGTGAGGTGAGCCCAACATGACCAGTTTATCCAAATGTACCCATAAGGTGAACCTTTCTGCCTGACATCCTGCTCCTACAGAGGGAAGAAGGCAGCAGCAAGGGGCCAGCAGTGTTACACTGTTGGACTTCCTGGACACTGACAGAGATATCCAGAGCTGGGAAGAGGCAGTGCCCTAAAACACAGGTTGGCTTTCAATACTCAGCACGAACCTATACCTGATCCCCCTTCGAACCACTCCGACCATCGCTCACTGGCTCCCACCATGGACTTCCGGCCTTTGCGGTCACTGTTCTCCTGCCAGGAACTCTCTTCTTCCTAGACACTATCTCATGCCCTCAGATCTGCTCAGGTGTCACCTACTCGGGGGGGCCTTCCCTGACCACCTATCTCAAGTAGTGCCACTGCTTGACCCCTTTCCTTTCTATTCCGTTTATCCTGCTTTGATTTTCTTAAAAGCCTCGCCTGTCTCTCTTCCTGAGTTCATGAAGGCAGATGCTTTCTGTTTTATTCACTGTATGAGCTAAGGATATATTTATTCAGTGAATGAGTGGATGGTCCAGTCAACTTGGAGTCCGTTCCAGCTCAGCCGCTGCCTGGAGTATCACTTGCAAAGTGGCCCAGTCAGCATGGGCCTCTATTGAAGTACTACACTAACTCTTTTCAAGAGTGGAGGTGGGCCAAGGTGCAGTGGCTCATGCCTGTAATTCCAGCACTTTGGGAGGCCAAGGCAGGCGAATCGCTTGAGCCCAGGAGCTCGAGACCAGCCTGGCCAACATGTCGAAATTCCATCTCTATGAAAAGTACAAAAATTAGCTGGGTGTGGTGGCATACACCAGTGGTCCTAGCTACTCTGGAGGATGAGGTGGTAGGATCACTTATGTCCAGGAGGCAGAAATTCCTGTGAGCCAAGATTGTTGGCGACAGAGTGAGACCCTGTCTCAAAAAAACAAAACAAAAAAAAAACAGAGTGGAGGTGAAGCTTGAATGAGATAACATATGGAAAAGAGCTGAAAAATGTACTAGAATCGTGGAAGCGAATCCTATAGAGTGGTTACTGCTACAAACAGTAGTTGCTCTTTTAGAATCAGGGAGAAGTTTCCTCTGTCACTTCAGGGATTGGCGGTTAAACTGATGACATCGCCAAATTTACTAGGATTATCCTCATATAAAATGTTCTCATTCATTGTTCCCAATCTTAGCCTTGTATTTGCCACCCTGTGTATCCTAATGTTTTTATTTGAAAATTCTAATTATAGTAGGCAATAAAAAGGAGGCGATTCTTTTTTTTTTTTTTTTGAGACGGAGTCTTGCTCTGTCGCCCAGACTGGAGTGCAGTGACGCGATCTCGGCTGACTTCAACCTCTGCCTCCCGGGTTCACACCATTCAAAAGGAGGCAATTCTAAGAAGAACAGGGCTACACTGTCTTAAGCATAACAAAAATTTCTTACTGGAAGACACTGACTTTGCCATGAGATTTTAATGTCCCAAAGAGGAGAGAGCTTCACTTATCCCCAAAAAGTAATTTTTGAAACTGAAAGAAGTACACTAGAAATCCATTATGAAGCAATCTGTGGACCTGCGATTTTCACATCTTTACAGATAAATATGCCTTTCAATCACTTGCAGTTTCAGTACTATAAATCCTGCAAATGGACAAAACAATCCAGTTTATTCAGAATTCTGCTTTTATCAACAGTTGCATTGAGGCAGATTTTGTTATATTCTGTCGTTTATATAGTGGTATATGGAAAATACATGGACTTTGGCATCACCTAGATATGGCTTCAAATTCCAGCTTTGCTACTCAATAGCTAAGGGGGCATGAGAAAATTATTTCACCTGGGACTGAGTTTACTCATATGGATATGTCTTATATAAAGCTCTGACCTTAGGGCTTGTCTAAGAATAGTATCACAGTCAAGAAAAGGTGTGCTGTCTGTTAGTGAACGGCTATGAGGTGTTCTGTAACAAGGGAGCCTCCTGAGTTCAAGCGATTCTCCTGCCTCAGCCTCATTAATTGTATTTAACCCAGACTTTCCCAAATGTTTTTCCTTATAGAATCTGTTAATATGTTGCAGAATTGGTATTCCATAAAGGACCCCGTGGGAGATCCTGGCTTGCATAATGCCAGACATATTTGATGTAAGAAATCAATTTTGCTTCCCTTTTCCAGCTTAGTGTTGGCCAGTCAGAATTTTCACTGGATGCCTACCAGGCAACTTAAAGTAGAACTCTTGGGGTTTTGTGCCTTCACACTCTCCATCCCAACTCCTTCCATAGTCTTCCTGATCTCCAATCATGGCCCCCCTATTCATGTATTAGTTTCCTAGGGATACTATAACAAAACACCACCATCTGGATAACATAAAACAACAGAAATGTATTGTCTCACAGTTCTGAATGCTAGAGTCCAAAATTAATGTGTCAGCAGGACCATGCTCCCCCTGAAACCTGTAGCCTACAATCTTCCCTGCCTCTTCTAGCTGCTGGTGTTTGCCAGCAATCCTGGCGCTCCTTGGCTTGTAGATATATCACTTAGTGTCTGTGTCTGTTGTCACAT